CTCAAAGTTTGGTTGTAGATCACAATGTCATCTAAATAAATCATAATAAATCGATCAAAGAACGACTGAAGTACCTTGTTCATAAGGGTGCAGAATGTTGTTGGGGCATTCGTGAGTCTGAATGGCATGACTAGGAACTCATACGAACTATACCGAGTGACACATGCTGTCTTGGGCTCATCTCCTTCTGCGATCCTGACTTGGTAGTAACTCGACTTCAAATCCAGCTTGGTGAACCACCTTGCGCTTCCAAGTTGGTCAAACAAGTTCATAATGAGTGGGATAGGATACTTGTTCTTGATGGTCAGCTTGTTCAAAGCCCGATAGTTTATGCACAGCTACAACGACCCATCATGCTTGCGTTGGAATAGAATTAATGCACCATATGGTACCTTCGATAGCCCAATGAAGCCAGCATCAACTAACTTTTTGAGCTATTTTTTTAACTCTTCTAACTCTGGTGAGGACTTTCGGTAAGAGGCTTTAGCTGACGGCTTGGCCTCAGACACCAGCTCGACGCCAGCTCGATCTTATGGTCCACATCTCTTTTAGGTGGTAGCTGGCTAGACAGCTTTGCAGGCATCACATCACTAAAGGTCTTTAGCACCTTCAGCACTTCCAAAGGTAACTCGATCTCATTCTCTCTTGGCTCCTTATACTTTAGGGCTGCCAAAAAGGTGTCTTCTTCTCTGCTTACCGTCTTGGTAAATTGGATGGCTAACACCACCCGTGACCTAACTCTAGACCCTCTCCTTAATGGCACTAGGCATTGGCATTGTGCATCCAAGATGCAAATACAATTGGCAAAAAGCACAATGAGGGCGTTAATCTGAACAAGAAAATATAACCCAATCATAAACTCATAGTTGCCAAAGGGTATTACCTCTATGGTCTCTTTGCCTTTCCAATCTCTAAGCTATAACTCCACTCCCTGCGTTACTCTAATGGCTGAAACCTCTTGGAGTTCACCATTTTAATGGTACCAGTCCCTTTCTGCACCTTTAGTCAGAGCTTCTGGGCTCCATCACTTAAAATAAAAAGGTGTGAGGCACCTGTGTCCATCAGTGTACTCACATTTTGACCCATCACCATCAGATCCGTAAACATCAAGCTCTTTGGCTTGTGGTTCCCTTTACTCTGGATAGTATTGAGCACCAACGACCCAAGCTTTGCTGCCTCTATCTCTGGCTCCTCATTAGACTTATTGTCTACAGCAGCCAGCTTGGCCTTTTATGGGCAATTACGCACTATGTGACTCCTTCCACATAGGTAGCATGCTAGTGGCTCTCAATCTCTTTTTGCTTTCCATTTGCCTACCAGTGGCTTCCTCTCGCCATCCTTAGTTGAACAATCTCGGTCTTCATCCTTGGACTCTTGGTCACGGTCCTTCCTCTTGGACTGTTTATTTCGGTCCTTCTCATCCTTATCGTTACCCTTGGGCTTGGAAGACTCGAACTTGTTCAGAGGCTTAAACTCTATCAAGGACTCAGCAATAGTCATGGCTTTAGCCAAGTCATGAACTCCTTCCGTTGTAGCTCATGCTTCACCTACGGCTTCAGCCTATCCATGAAAGCAAATAAGGCATCCTTTTTGCCTAGATTTGAGATCTGTAGTATCAGTTTAAAAAATCTCTGGACATACTCCTTTAGTCCTCTTGCTAGCTCAGCCTGCGTAACTTTACCCGCGCCTCATCATCGGCATACTCCAGGTAAAACTACTCTTTGAACTCTTTTTGAAACTCTGGCCAAGTTCCAATCTTGGCACTCCCACGCCTAACATCATCACACATACACCTTCACCACAATAAGGCTACATCAATGCGATACATAGCAACGGTGCTTACCTTTATTGCCTCGTTTTGTATGCCCATAACCTGGAAATACTGCTCCATACCCCATAAGTAGTTGTCTACTTTCTTGGCTGCCTTAGCCCTCTTAAACTTTTTAGGCTTAGGGACATCCATCCTGGACTTAGACACTCTAGCAAACATGTCATTCCCAATGGCAGTCTTGCAAGCAATGAGCTCACTGGTGAGTTCCTCTATCTTCTTGCTTATGGCATCTATGCCATCGCGCATGGTCTCCACCACAACCTCCAAGGTCTCATTTTTTTGGGTGATCACATCCATGCCTTTATTGAGAACAGCTTGCAACTCGCCATTAAGCTCCTCCTTCATAGAGTCTAACGCTTCAATGTAAGTCTCCACATCCTCAAGCGTCTCTTATATGTCACCCATGCTTACCTCCACCTTGGTCAGCCTACCGTCCATGGTAGATTAGATGTCTCTTGAGTTGGCCTTCTTGCCTCTTCCATGCCCCTGCTCCGGGGCCTCTGGTTGTTGGCTAGCAACGTCACTCTGTGATGCCATCTCTTCGACTGTGATCTAACCTGAATAACACAAACACGTAAAATCAAACTTACTTTGATACTAACTGTCACGGGCTCTGACCTTAACTCAGAATCCGTGCGACCTTAGGTTTGGAATCACCTCTTTGTAGCCTAAGTCAACCTAAAACACCAGCGTACGACACTAGAACAATGGGAAAAGCTAAATGCGCAAGTTTGAGAGAAACAGGAAAACAAAATAGCTTACTGGAATATGTTTTGTATTCACTGAAACAAAAGTGTATAATGGTGTACAAATAAGAGTAGAGCAGCCCTCTATTTATAGTTAAAGCTCTCAACTACACTTATGGCTAAATCCCTAGAATCAAGGCTAAAATTAAGAAATTACAAAGACTACAATCAATCAAGATTCTATCTCTTGATTCTAAGGGTCAACCAAATCTGTCAAAAGAATCCTGCTGATCTTGTGATCTTTCAGAAGATCCTTTTGCGTATCTCCTATCTTGGGTCCTGCTGGATGTGATGCAGGCATCATGCAGGCCAGACCTTGGCCTTGTAGGCTGACCTGTAGGTTGTGCGGGCATTTTGGCCTTGCCTCAAAAGTCTTGCACGTTAACTCCCGTCAGTGCGCCTGGTGTACGGGCCTTAATCTCAGATGTGCGTGTTGGTGCGTCTGATGTGCCTGATGCGCCCATCCAGGACGTGACACTTGCACCTAGCAAGTTTCAAAACATTTTCCATCTTGGTGCTACAGTACCTCTGTCTAGTTGCGTATCTGACTCTTTCAGAGAATTCTATGCCCGTACGTCGAGCTTGGGTCTATGCTTTATCTAGAGCCTTCTTATGTCTAGTGCCTGCACCACTTTTACGAGGCTTTCTAGAAATTTCACTCATCTGGGCACCATAGTGGCTAGTACTGTACTCGCACCTAGTCCTTCTGGAATCTTCAATGCCCGTGCACCTGACCTACCTCATGGTCTTTCTAAGCCCTTCTATCCCTGATTGCCCGTACCACATCTTGTGTTCTAGAACCTTTCAACAAGCAGTCCTCATGCCTGGCAGCGTACAGCTCACCTTGAACGTAGTGTTGCACTCCGACTTTGGCCTTAGCCCACATGTCACGGACCTAAGAAAGAGTCATGAATCCCACATCGAACATAATAGGAGGGTCACTGGGGTATAAAAGGGTTCACACCACCTCTGCCTTGTGAGGTGCCTTTTGTAGGATAAAACCGTGAGGCCAAGGGGGCCAAAGCGGACAATACCTCACAAGGGTGTGAACCGTGGCGGTTAGGCTGATCTGGGACATCGGATGAGTGGATGCCCGAGTCCTGGAGTCGCGCGGGTTCGGAGTTTAAGTCTCGATCCGTGACAAATGGTATCAGAGCCAGCCCTAAACCGTTCGATCCACGCCAAGCACCTCAAGGGAGGTAGGCAGGGTGGCCAGCCTCCGTGACGAGGGCGTCACAAAGTTAGGTGCGGGAGAATGTCACGGACCTAAGGAAAAGTCTTGAATCTCACATCGAACATAATAGGAGGGTCACTGAGGGTATAAAAGGGTTCACACCACCTCTATCTTATGAAGCGCCTTTTGTAGGATAAAACTGTGAGGTTATGGGGGACAAAGCAGATAATACCTCACAAGAGTGTGAATCATGGTAGTTAGACTAATCTGAAATGTCGAATGAGTGAATACCCGAATCTTGAAACCGCGTGAATTCGAAATTTAAATCTCGACCCATGAGACACACACTTAAGTAACATATGTACCTTTAGAACCTCGGTTTTGATCCTTCCTGATGCTTCGTCCGCACCATCTCGAACAAATTTCTTTACACGACCCTCTTGATTTAGGACTCGTGCGCAGTCCGTAACAACATCCTCTCCTTTTCTGTCCTCTAACAATGCATCGACGTCATAATATCTTTCTATCAGACACCCAATTTTCTATACATGGTAAAGTAAAATTTCGGTTTTTTATTTCAGAGAAGTACGGACCACTAGCATCTCTTTCAGCATGGGCTTTTGCGCTCAGGAACCAAGGGCTTATAGACAGGACTCTACTGTTTGATGTTGAGCTCCGTAAAATCACTCCAAATTGATTTCTGATCAAAGGTCATCGTGAAAGTTACAACATTTAGAGACAATGAAGGTACTGAGGTTTGACATCGTGTATATTTTATCCTTTCAGGCTGGTCATAAGGTTCATCATACAATGAATTTATTAGTCACCATTTTGCTCCAGGGAGGTTTTCTGATAATGTCAATACAGGGAGCTGAAGTCATCCATGGATCAAACTATTGAAAACCATTGAACAAAGAATGTGAAATATCTCTTTTATGAAACTATAGAGGCCATGTCTCATTCACTAAATTCCATCTATTCTTTAAATAAAGGATTACTTTGCTAATTGGTTTTTGGCATTTCTTTATCTTGCCAACTGTGATGGTCTAAAGAAAGGTCTGCTTGGCCATTCTTTCCAAATTTTGCTAGTCCAAATCCTCATTTCAGCGTCAAGTTTTATAACATTCGCGTATATAAAAGATCGGTTTATGCTGTTGCCTTTGCTGGTAATGATAAACACTGGTTCTCTCTCTCCCTACACATTTGGTAGATAAAATCTGTTATTCCTAGAAATTTTTCTGCCGCAGAGTCCCATCTCTCACACAAAACTGTTCGAGTCAGACGTTTATGGAATATAGATCTTTAACTAATGATGCATTTTCAATTTGCTGCCTTGCCTGTCCTGTTTGGCAGATCAAAATTTTTATTTCATGCCTCCAGTTATAATCCCCATCATTATTAAGAAAGGATAAGCTTCTTTGAACTCGTGCCAGCATTAGCAGTGCGAAGAAGGCCAAGGATGAAGGCCAACTAACTCGACTCAGGTTGCACCCATGATTATGTTCATATCCAGGGTCACTCATAGAATACAATCAGTTAACCATTTTCCACATGCTGCAATTGACATTGTTTTAAAAATTTTTAAGCGCTTTGCTTGCATTACAGTTTCATGAGCTTGACTGTTAACCTGCTGAGCAAAATCAGCAGTTGAGAGTTGAGATACCTTGGGAGATAGATGGTGATGTAAATATATCAACTATGGGCGCAATAAGCAATCTAGATAGATAGCCTAGCCCCTTGGAATGGTCATTTGGCCGTCTTAAATTCAGATAACGTTGAAAGCTGAAAAACTTGCAACCCTCGCACAAGGCAATTAAGAATTACTCGCCTACACAGCCCGACCTAGGATGGTCTTTTTTATTAGGCTATCTAATTCTCTGAAGTAAGGTCATGAGTGCTGAAAAAAAAATCAAGACACAATAAAGCAGAATCATGAAGTGCTTTCGGATTGATATCAAGATTACAAAAACTTCATTGCTTCAAAAAGGAATCGTACACAAGTACAGATCATTGCTCATAAACTAATCATAAATATTATAGCAATAGACAAAAACCATTAGAAAATTGAATCCAGAGAATGATCTAGTTAACAGAAATAAACCAAAGCTTAAAAACAGAACAAAAAAGATCAAAAACACATTAAAGAAAATAAATTTGAACTGCTAGTTTACCCACAAACCTTAATTGACAGAAAGCTGTCGCCGCTTGTAATGAACCATCACCTTTCCTTTCACACCTACCACCATAGCATTCCAGTCAATCTCAGGGAAAGGTGACACAAGCTCCAATTCAAAGTTCCTCAACAAATGGCTCCATATAGCCTTTATCTGAAGGTAAGCAAACGGTTCACCAAGGCAACCATGCCTGCCGCCTCCGAAGGAAATATATGAGAAAGCCCCTGCTGCCTTGTCTTCTTCCCTCCCAACGGAGAATCTATCAGGATCATACGTGTCTGGATCCTTGTAAATGTAAGGAAGCCTATTTGCAAAAGCTGGTGATGTTGCAACAATGTGACCCTTCGGGATGTCATACTCTTTCCCTTCTCGGGTTTTTACACTAAAATCACTGTGTGAGCTGCGTAGAAGCATAATCAATGGGGGGTGAAGTCTCAGGGCTTCTTTAATGCATCGATACAAAGTGTCCATCTCAGATAAGATATCGTGATCAACCTTGCTTCCATGCTTTTGCATTAGTAGTTTCTGCTCCTCCTGCACAGCAGATAGAAACTCCTTATGACGGAGGAGATATGCACCAGTCCAAGTAGAGGTGATGGAACTGGTATGCTGCCCAGCAAAGAGAGCAGCAATGAGCAAGCCAGTTACTTCAGCCTCAGTAGTCGGACGACCATCTTTATACTTAGACTCAATGAAATATTGCAACATGTCGTTTTCTGACTTGCCAGCACTTTTACGTGAAGCAATGATATTCGCAAAGATTTCTGCAAGCTTCCTTCGAGCTCGGTCGCGACGGTGATGAGCAGGGATTGGCAGGTAAGGGAAGATAACACTGATAGGGAGCATGCCATTGTCAAGATCATGGAAGAGTGCAGACACATCATCAAAAAGCTTATCACGAACTTCTTGACCCAAGAGACACCTACTAGCAGTCAAGATAATCAGATGCTCCAGCTCATACTTGAGGTCCACCTCACCACTATCACCCCATTTTGAGAAGTATTCCTATCCAATTCCATAAAATTAGACAACAAAATCACAAATATGGAGTAACAACATTGTGAATATATGTAAAATTGAACCATACAAGGCACCTCAACTTCAGAACAAAAGTCACATAATTTTCTCTTCACTAACATGTCATTCAACTTCCCAAACTAAATGTACCTAATGTTTATTATCCTTTATTCCTTTTTATTCATCAAAGTAGTCCAAGGAGTAAACTTCAGAGGGTTATGCATGGCCAATCATCAAGTAATAACAAGCCACAAACACATTCTTTTTCACTCGGCAAGGAAAAAAGAAGTGGAAAGGTATGTTTTATCCGTGAACCACGACAGCTTGAAATATGATGCTCCAATTGGTTTTAAAGAAAGCAATCTCAATATTCACAACAGCTTTATTAGCATGTGCAGACTATACTTCAAACTTCAGATACGCTGAGTCCTAAGAAGTTTCCAAAATGAAGTAAACAAACTATGTTTATTCAACTGGGTTCATTTATTATCCACCAAACTTCAATTTACTTGAAAACAGAAATGCAAACTCCATGTTAGTTACTCCTTGTCAGAATTTTATACTTCAACACGATCGAATAAGAGCCACTTCTTTATTAGGGTCAGATACAGCTACAGGGTCATCAAATAATATACAATACATAAACAAAAAGTAAGGAGTGGTAAAAGTATAGCATAAACCAAATTTCTAGCAAATCACTCACCTCAGCTTCTGTAACCATCTGATCAACATAGCCCTTAAGTTTATTAACTCTTAGGGCCTCCGTAAAGAACCGGAACTGCTCTTGCCTTATTGAGTAATCCACATCAAACACCACACCGGGACCAAAAGTCGGCACATTGAACTGATAAACTTCCTGCTGGCTGAGGTCTGATTCTGAAGCCTTAAAGAAGTGTGCTGAAACCTCAGGCCCAATCAAGAAAGTTATCTTCTTGTTAAACAAGTTCAACGTGAAAACACTGCCAAGCTTTGGGTACTCCTCCCGGAGCATCACGATGGGCCCCTTCATGAATCGAAGGAGCCCGCCAATTACAGGCCAGGTTTTGATTTCTGGCGGCACCCGCTTCCTAGATCTAGGCATTATGAGGACAGATATGAGCTTGGCCACTACTAGAGTTGCTATTATGAGAATACCCATGTTCAAAAGCTTGTCGTCTACTTCCATGGCGTCGGATTTGATAACTTCTATCAGTTCTCAGCTGAAAATCAAAGAAAAGTAAGAGTTATAAAACTTAAGAAGAAAATTAAGCCACGGAGAAGAATCTTTAATCAACACTCTCTTCGGTGAAAAGTTTCACTAACGTGAGTCCAGCATTCCACTACTCAAAAGAAAGAAAAAAAAAAAAAAAAAAAGCTCAAATCGTCGGAGAAGAAAATGGCGAAAATTTGTTTTGTTATATAAAAAGTTATTGCATGAAATCGACAAGAATGTGACAGAGAATCCCAAAGGAAAAACATAAACCAAAAATGTATGTTAATAAACCCAAAAGCAATGTAAAAACCCAACAAATAAAAGATTAAAAAAATGAAGATTAATTACCTGATTTGAGATTCAAAATGCAGGAGACTGGAAAAGATAAAAGACAGAGAGAGACAGAGTCAGGCGGACTAAAGGTAGCAAACTGATAGTCTTTTTTTTTTATTTTTTATTTTCCCAACACAAAAGAGAAAGCAAAAGAAGTGTCCAAATTGAAAAGTCGAAGCAAGCAAAGGTATGGGAAGGGCAGGAGAGTGTGGGCAATAGACAAACTATCAGAGTAGGTTTTAAAGACAGATTAGTAAATAATCAAACCGAGCCGTGGTATTATCAGAGCTGGACTCGGAGCCGGTTTGAGGGGCTCGTTGGATCTCGTCAAAACCATGGGTCGCAAAGGGGCTGTTTTGATGTTCGTCTTATAATTTGATGGGGATTGCAAACTTTATAATACCCTTTAATTTCGTTTTCGTAGCATAGGATAACACATGGGAAGTCGGGACAAATTTAGGCCAAAAATTTCTGAACTGGTTTTGGTTGTGTATTGTCAGGCAGAGAGTATAGGGACAAGTGGCCCCGAAGCTCGTGGCCTAGTGGGCTATTGGCCTTCCCAGTATCCTCCTCGCCCGGTCCATCACTCAATTTTTTCCTGAAGAAATTATTTGATTTTGATTTTTTTTTTAACTTTTGGATATTAAATAATAATTGTTAAAATTAAAAATTCATTACTCCATCAACCAATGACAACATCATTTTTAAAGGATTCTCCTAATTTTTTTTACCATTAGTTCAAAGTATAAAAGTTACTTTTGATAATTGGAATTTTTTTAATAATTTTTATTTTTTTATAAATGATCACAAATACTATACAGGATGCTCTCCTGGTATTAAATTTAATATAAAGATATTAATGAGGTGGGTTTAGGGCAAATAAAACATTTTTTATTTTCAAAATTTAAATTTATTCTTGTCTTCACCCCTATATCCAAATTTGTAATTTGTCTTCCTTCTCACGGGAGCTAACGAGCATGAATAATTACCTATCATGATTCTTTAAAAAATTTAAAATAAGCATTTTGATATTTTTTAAAATAAGTAAAAACTTAATCAATATAATAGATATCTTAATTCTTCTAGTTCTCCGTTCATCGTTGGTATCTAAATGGTTCTTAATTATAAAACAAATCAAACATTTATTGATTAATTTTTATTATCATGATTATTAATTTAAATGGATTGACATCCTTGATTTTTATAATTGAATCAGATTAAACAAAATCAAATCGAAAAGAAATTGAATCAGATCCAAATCAAACCAAACCAAGAAGGATGACACATGCAAATGATTAAAACCAACCATCTAACAATGAATAGAAAAAGAGAGAAAAAAGAAGTATTATGGCTGGTGTAAGAATAATGGCTAAGAAAAATTAGGTGGAAGGTAGCAACGAGGTGAGGTGATGAAAGGAAGTTACTTTCGGTTCCGATGATATGAGCACGACAAAGGGAAGGAGGCAGAAACAAGAGCAGCGTGACAAAATGAAAGGAAGAAGAGGTAGGAGCGGCACAACGAAAGGAACGATATACTACAATAGAGACTTGAGAGAGAAATAATGGTAAAGAGATGAAGAGAGGAGAGAGGTAATGACGGCAGGTGAGCAACAAAGATTGAAGGTGAGGAATTCTTCAAACAGGAAATAAAGCTTTAGCTATTGCAGCTGAAGCCTAGAAAATTAAAAGTACAAGGGTTTAAAAAATTTTAACCTAAATGTAATTAATGTAAAATAAAATTTTATAATATTAAATATAAAATATATTTATTAAATATATATTGAGTACGAATATAAGACGAATATTAAATTAACCGTCCACTTATCTTATCAGTGTTTTAAAGTTATATTTTTCTTTGTTTCTATCTCTATCCCATCTCTAAATTTTTTACATATATCTATTATCATTAGATTTACTATTAAGTTAGGTAAAATTAACATCCTAATTTTAAATTTAACTAAATTTATTATATTTATTAATTGCAAACTTTTTACCAAAGGATGAAAATTGGAAACCATTCATATTGTAAACATAATATTTTTACTATATATGTAATAAATTCGAGAAAGCATATGAACATGTATAAGCAACCACTATTCTTGATGTCCTATGATATCTTATATATAAATGGTGTAAATTTGCACCCGAGGTTGCCACATGTCTATCATGTGTCTTGCTACGTGGCAATTTCTTGGGTTTTTATTTTGGGATTGGCTTTTTTTTTTTTTAAATGTATGGGGCTCACTTTTTTGTTAAATTTTATTTTTTATATGGGATCGTTTAATTTTTTTCTATTGATTTTTTTTATTTATAGGGCCCACATATTTTTATAAATTTTTTTAAAGTGTAGGGTTCACCTTTTTTTTATATTATTTTTGGGGTGTCGGATCCACATTTTAGTTATATTTTTTTCATTCGATTAAAAAAAAATTTTTTTTTGCTTTTAATTTTTTAAAAATTCGTGGGCGTACCTGTTTTTATTTTTAAAATTTTTTTAGGGTTTGGAGCCCACATTCTTTTTTTTTTCATATTTTCTGTTGAATTTACACCTTAGTTTATTTTTCCCAACTAATTTTTTTTTTTGTAAATTTTTTACTTTTTAATTATGAGACCCGTATTTTTTTCTTTTTATTAAAACATAATTATATTCATATATATATATAAGTAAGATTTAATTTATTCATGTGTAATTATTTTATAAATAAATAGTGTATATTTATATATATACAATGTGCATCACATATCATCTGTATTATTTGTCAAAAGTTGATATGTATAAGTTATTTAAATTTTTAAATAAATCATTTTTAGAAAAGTGAAACTCACCTTTAAAATTTTTTCCCTTAAAGCCGACTTTCTTGTTTTTAAATATAGAAGCTGCATTTTTAATGGATTCTCCTAAATTTCATACCACTAGTTCAAAATAAAAGTTACTTTTGATAATTGGAATTTTTTTAATAATTTTCATTGTTTAATAAATGATTACCCATTACAAGTAGATACTTTAAAATATTATATGGGATGCTATCCTAGTATTAGATTTCAATAAAGATGTCAACAGGGTGGGTTTGAGGCAGATGAAACATTTTTTATTTTTAAAATTTAAATTATTCTCATCTTAATCTCCATATCCAAATTTGTAATTTGTCCTCATTCTCACGGGAACTAACAAGTATGGGTAATTACCTATCCATGATTATTTAAAAAATTAAAAATAAACATTTTAATATTCTTTAAAATAAGTAAAAACTTAATCAATATAATAGATATCTTAATTCTTTTAATTCCCCATTCATTGTTAGTATCCAAATGGTTCTTTACTATAAAATAAATCAAACATTATATTAATTAATTAATTTTTAATATCATGATTATTAATTTAAATGGATTCACTTCCTCAATTTTTATAATTGAATCAGATGAAACAAAACCAAATCGAACAAAAATTGAATCATATTAAAAAAAATTTCAAATCAAATCGAATCAAGAATGATGATATATGCAAATGATTAAAACCAACACATCTAAAATGAATAGAAAAAAGAGAATAAAGGAGTATTATGGATTATGGGTGGTGTAAGAATGGTAGCAAAGAAAAATTAGGTAGAAGGTAGCAACGAGATGAAGTGACGAAAGGAAGTTACTTTCAATTCCGACGAGGTGAGCATGACAAAAGAAAGAGGTAAGAGTGAGCAGTGAGACGAAACGAAAGGAAGAAAAGGCAGGAACGGCACAACGAAAGGGGCTATCTATTACAATAGAGACTTAGAGAGAAATAGTGGTGAAGAGATAAAGAGACGTAAGAGGCAAGAACAGCAAGCAAGCAACGAAGATTGAAGTTGAAGAATTCTTCAAAAAGGAAATAAGGCTTTAGCTATTATGGTTGAAGCTTGGAAAATTAGAAGTATAAGGGTTTAAAAAATTTTAACCTAAATGTAATTAATGTAAATATAATATTAAATATAAAATTTGTTTATTAAATATATATAAAATATAAATACAAGATAAATATTAAATTATCAATCCACATATTCAAGAGTATTTCAAAATCATACTCATTCTCATCATCATCTCCATTTTTATCTCCAAATTTCTTGCCCATATATCATTATTCGGATAAAAAAATAGATTTCTCATTAACTTTTGATAAAATTAACATCCATAACATTAGATTTACCTTAGATTTGTTATATTTATTAATTGCAAACTTCTTATCAAAGGAAGAAAGTTGGAAACCATTCATATAATAAAAATATAATTTTTTTTTAACTATATATGTAATTAATTCGAGATAGCATATGAACACGAATTAGTAACCACTATTCTTAATGTCTTGTAATATCTTTGATATAAATGCTGTAAGTTTGCACCTGAGGCTGCTACATGCCAGTCATGTAGATTGCCACATGGCAGTTTCTTGAATTTTTTTTTGGATTAGCCCATCCTTTTTTTTAATTTTAAATGTGTAAGGCCTACCTTTTTTGTTAAACTTTATTTTTTGTGTAGGATCCACACCTTTGTTTAATTTTTTTTCTCTCTATTTCTTTTTTTATTTACGGTGCCTACATATTTTTTTAAATTTTTTAAATATGTGGTTCACTTTTTTATTATTTTTTAGGTGTGGGACCCACACTTTGGTTATATTTTTTTCATCCGATTTTTAAAAATTCCTTTTTGGTTTTAATTTTAATTTAAATTCATGGGGTCTACCTGTTTTTTATTTTTAAAAATTTTTTAAGTGTGTGGAGACCAAATCCTTTTTTTTTTTTTGTTTATTTTTTTAGCTATCTACACCTTAGTTTATTTTTCTCAACTGATTTTTGCTTTTGTAAATTTTTACCTTTTTAATTATAAGACCCACATTTTTTTATTTAATACTGATACTATATTCATACATAATTAAGACTTAATTAGTCTATGCTTGCAACAATTTTATAGATAAATCATGTATATTTATAGATATATAATGGGTACTGTGTATCATCTGCATTATTTTTTAAAAGTTGACACATGTAATCTATCTAATTTTTTAAATAAATCTTTTTTAAAAAGTGAAACTCATCTTCAAAAACTTTTTCCTTCGATGCCCATTTTTGTTTTTAAATATAAGACTTGCAATATTTCATGGGATCTGCTTTGGTGACCTGTTTTTATGTATTTCATCATAATTCATTTTTCAATATGACTCACTTTTTTCAAATTTTTTCATTGAAATCTTTTTTCCCTAAGTTTTTCCTTTGGTATCACATGTAATTTTTTTATTTTTTTAAATGTTTCATAAATATATTTTGTTTTTTTGAGAAACTAACTCGACATCAAATTTTAATCATTTTTCCTCCTTTTTTCTAGAAGATTC